AATCACAGTACCGGGCAATGAAAATCTCCCTTAAAGTTGTTGGTCAGGGTAGTCCAAGAGACTCCCAAAATAATACAGACTATTGTCAAGTCTTTGATTGCCTCCCAGAACTTGAAGGTAAGACCCTATTGCTGAGGACGTGATAACTTTCAGACACAGGACTTGGAGCAATGGAGCTGGAACTGACCTGGAAGCCTCCTCCCAGAAGACTAGCTCTCACAGCAACAGAGGATGCTATGCAAGCTGCCATAGGAGAAAAACCAATCAATTATCCTACCCAGCTGTAAAGCCTATGAACAATGACTGGCCCAGCAAATTATCTCTGTTGGTATAGTAATGGCACTTTTATCTTGGAGGTAATCAACAGCTATATAACTGGACTTAAGGCCTACTCAATGGGAGGGAATTCATGTGTGTTACTGTAAACACAGTCAAGTACACATGACTGGAGAGGTCATAGATCCTAGAGAAGAACCTACTTCTGTCACTTCCCTAGACCAACATAATTTCTTACTATATTTAAATACATACCCTTACATTTATAGACAAGTGTACCTCTCACCACTCATCAAAGAAACTTCTTTTTGCAATATATGGAGACTATTATGACATTCCACAACTGGTCAAACGCAGAGAATAAGTGACTGTGAGATGTTCAGCCTTAAGTGATACATTTACAGTGCAACCTCTATACCTAAGACTCAGGGAACATCGTGGAAGAGAAGGCAGAAAGCGTGTAAGAGCCAGAGAACAAGACACCCCGTTTGTTAATGTATACTAGACATGATAGGGAAGCTTCACCAATGAAATCTCTACAGTAGTCTAACAAGATCTGCATAATGACAAACCAGTTGACATGTCAAGGTGAATGGGGGAATTTTCTTTTTTTATTGATTTTTTGTGTGTATTTCATATAGAACATCCCAAACAATCTTATTCATCTTTATACCCACATTCGTACACATAAAATTAAAAACATACATTAAATTCCTCTGAATAGTGCCAATTTGGGTGCAGAAAATTTTATGGAGTCCCAACTGAAGATGAAGAGCTACCGGGAATCAATGGATGCTGAGGGGGGAGAATCAGTTTTCTCCAGGGACTAACTCCAAGAGGTTCTCCAATCTCAAGTGCGCAGCCCTAAACACAGCTACACACAGGAACCATTAAATGCACTCAGTGCATTATACATATATACATATATGTAGTACACACATATGTATATTTATAAATGTATGTATGTGTATGTAACAATGATAATCAAAGAGGAGGACAAGAAATTGAGAGGGCGTGGAGTGCGTGAGAAGTTGGAGGGGCACTGGGAAGAACAGAAATAATGAAATATAATAAACATGTATGAAATCCTCAAAAAAAACAAAACAAATAGTGTCCTACAGACTGTAACCCTGTATCACTTTCCTGAGAGCTGTCAATCAAAGCAAGCCTGCATTCTAAGATAATGGGTGTCTAGACTACAATTCCCAGGCTGCCCCTCCCTCCCCATTTTGCTCACCCATAAGTTTACCTGCCTACTAGACATCATTACTTGGATCTACAGTTGGCAACTCAAACTAAACATGCCCAAGAAATGAACTCTACGAGCTTTCCCTCCCAAACCTACCCATCCTCTGTGCCTCCTCCAGTTCCTGAAGTCACAATTGGCATTCATTTCTTGAGTTAGAGTATCTGGGGTCCTTCACTGTCTCCTTTTCCCTTACACCTCAGATCTAGCCTCTGAACAAATTCTACAGGTGGGGTCTTTTCCTCAAACTTGCTCACTTCTCCCCATCCTCACTGCCATTTATGTGGAAAACACAAATGCACACCTAAAACCTTTCCCTGAGACAGTTCTCAAGAACTGGGAGTTAGCGCCATACCTCCATGCCGCAGGGCATGTCTCCACATTCACAGACACAATGACCCTGACATTCACTGGCAGAGGGTCTATCAGCCACTTCATGTGTTTTTCAACTTGCTTAAAAACATAAAAACAGAAGTCAACTTATAATAACTGTATTTCACAGCAATTCAAAAGCATTACCCCAACAATATAAAGTTCCCATTAACTTTCCTTTATTATTACTAAGGATAAAATTCTTAGTTGGAACTGATTTATCTTAGGTATTTAAAGACCAGGTGGCAACACACTATTATCACCAAATTTGAATTCTAGATATTTAAGAAAATATTTATACTCTAAGATGTATATTAAAAAGCTATTATAGAAATTCAGTTAATATTTTCCAGTAAGATGCTACTGTCTGTAGGCATTTAATTCAGACCCTTCTTTCCTAGAAATGAAAGGACCTGGTGCTCTGGCCGCTTTGGCGGTCTGCTAGTGGAAGACAAAGCAAGAACAGTACCTGAACTTGATCTATGGAATCAATGATGATGATGATACTGCCCTGATGCCTAGCAGAGAGCTTCTCCAACCAATGTGGAAATTCTTCCAGAAGCTTAGCAGGATCCAGTGTCAGCGCAGAAATTGCCCAGAAGTGCTGCATCAGCTGCAAGGTGGCAAGTTGGTACCATATGCCAAGTAAAGTGGTCACTCCGTGGTAGCAGGGAGGTCTTTCCGTCTTCACTGTTTACACCAAAACTGACTCCCCAAGAGGACCTGGTGGTACTCTGTGAGCTCTCTCTCTCTCTCTCTCTCTCGTCTTTCTCCCTCTCTCTCTCTGTGTCTGTCTGTCTCTGTCTCTGTCTCTCTCTCTCTGTAGGCCAAAGGTTGATGCTGGGTGTACTCCTCAATTGCTTTTCCACCTTATTCTTTAAGAAAGGGTCTCTCACTAAACCTGGAGCTCACAGACTGGCTAGGCTAGTCGCCAACAAATCCCAGGGATCCTCCTGCCTCTGCCTACCCCACAGTGCAAGGGTTAGAGACACATATGCTGCCTGGCTTTTTACACGGATGCTGGAGATAGGAACTCAGGTCCTCATGCCTGCACAGAAAGGACTTTACCAGCTGAGACCTTCAGTATTACTTTTTTAAAAAACAGTTTTTATTATTTTTATGTATATGAGTGTATTGCCTGCATGTAGGTAAGCGCACCCATGTCGTGCAATGCCCGCGGAGGACAGAGGAGGCAGTCTGATCCCCTGGAACAGGAGTTACAGACAGTTGTTAGCTGCCATGTGGGTGCTGGGATTTGAACCCGGGTCTTCTGCAAGAACAACCAGTGCTCTTAACTGCTGGGCCATCTCTCCAGCCCCCCATCAGTATTACTTTTATAACCTTATATAAAACCAAAATAATTGGTTGAGTATCCCTTATGCAAAAGTTGAGTATCCCTTATGCAAAATGCTTAGCACCAGAAATGTCTCAGATTTCAGATTTTGGGGGGTTTTGGAATAGTTGTATCTGCATGATGAATTATCTTGGGAATGGGATCAAACTCTACAGATGAAATTCACTTATGTTTATACACCCTCTACATACAGCCTGAAGGTAATTTTAAACCTGCCAAAGTGAGCCTGCATTTTGATTGTGACCTGTCACATGAAGTCAGATGTGGAATTTTCCACTTGTGTTGCCATGTTGGTGCTCAAAAATTTTCAGACTTTAAGTGGGAATGTAGCTCAGTGGTAGAGCACTTGACCTAAGGTTCAATTCCCACTACAACTAAAGAATTTCAGGTGTTGAAACATTTCAGATTTCAAATTAGTGATGCTTTACTGACAATACTGAAAATCTGTTTATTATTAAGACTCAGTCCCAAGAGCTCCTGGATCTGAAGGGAATGCTGATAGCTCCAGAAGATGCAGGCTGTACCTTGAGAGTCAGTCGTTTGATAATCAAGGAAGACTCTGAGCTGGCTGACATCGGTCTTCCCACAAAATGAGACAGTATCAGTGTGTTAGGGAAATTCTTCTGCTGCAGTCAAATCCTGAGAGAAAAACAGGACTTTACAAGACTGACAGTGCTCCTTCAGTGTCCATAGCAACAAGAAGAATTCACAAAGAACCAGACATTAAATGTTGCTCAAGGTTTAGCAACTGCACAGTTAAAGTCATTTTGGAACGAATATAGAGATGTCTGATTCTACTCCGCTTTTAGAACCTTTTTAAAGTAAAGTTTAAAAAATGATGGCTTCAGGGCTTGAGAGATGGCTCAGCAGCTAAGAGCACTGACTGCTCTTGCAGAGGACCCGGGGTTCGATTCTCACCACTCACATGGTGGCTACAAATCATCCTTAACTCCAGTTCCAGGGGAATCTGAAGCCCTCTTCTTATCTCTGCTGCATTGCATGACACAGGTGCTCACATACATGCAGGCAATACACTCATACACATAAAAGAAAAATAACAAAAATAATAAATAAAATATTTTTTAAAAAGATGTCCTCATTTTAATTTCAAATTGATATTAACATAAAATAGTAATTAAATAGGCATCCACTTCTAACTAAAAGTGTGCTGTTAGAGGATCCTGCTGTGGTAGGATCAGGGGTTTAAGGTCATCCCCAGCTAGATAGTAAGTTTGAGACCATCCTGAACTGCATAAGGCCCTGTCTAAAAAAAATTACTTAATTGTATTACATCATACCACTTTGATAAAAGAAGGGACTTCCCAGAACCTGGTCCTCCAGATACCAGAAGGGGAGGGATTGGAGCGGGCGCCACCACTAAATCATCAAGGCGTTGGTAATACTAGAAAAAAAAATACATTTACATTGTGAGCAAATACATGCCTCTGTGAGTGTGAGACACTCAGCTTCTGATCATCCTCTGAAAACACTAGAGAAAAGTGCAAGAGAAATCCAGCTCCACTGTTGCCCAACAGCACCTTCCCCAGAGTTATCTTCAGGCTGGGGCACTAGAGTTGAAGCAGGAAACAAAGATTAGGCCTCATGGCATCGCCATGAAGGACAGGGTGAGAGACAGCACAGATCCTACTGGGCTTTCATAGTGTTCGGATATTTTGTGAAATGCCACTGCAGGATATCGAGATGCTGGTGCCTCTAGACCCCAGGAAGTATCCCAGAAGGCATCGCAGACTTAGCTAGGAACCCTAGATATCTTCATGAGAAGGATGGACACCAGTCCTAGAGGCAGACCATGTTTCTTGGGCTTTCTGAAAACAGATTAAAACAAAAGCAGGTTTCTTCTGGGAGTTTCCAATCTCTCAGCCTTCCCCAGAAAGCTAGGCTCACTGAGATCTTCCTGAAATTGAATTCTATGCAGTCAAAGAACTCACATTTTCTTTCTCCACACACTTAAAACAAGTTCAGAGCTTGAAAGATGTGCTCAGAAAAGCAAAATACCAGAATACTTCTCAAGGAGTTTCCACAGTGTTGCCGTGTCTATTAACATCTACATGACAGCAGATGAAATTTTAAAGTTTGTAATAAATAGTTTGTGGTAGGCTGTAGACTAGCTTTATGGCAGCAAAATTCTCCACCAACTACAAGAAATGATTCCTTGGTAAAGTCTTTCAATTTGTTTTGCTTGTCATATCTAGACACACAATAAATCGCCCAGGAACTCCAGTAATTCTCATAGCGATGCTGTGTCTGAAGGAATAGAAGGAAGTCTTTATTGATTTAGTACCTCTCAATCACTCAGTCCATGGTCACACAGAGAGCCCATTTAAAGGTCTACAGTCCCCAAACTAGGACTTGTACTACAGAGGGAAAAGCATAGTATGTGGACCCAGGTTCAAATCTATTCCCTGTGTGCTTGTGAGCAAACCATAGTCAAACTTCAGTGCCTTCTTTTCTAAAGCAGTAGCAATATCTCTCCTATAAAACCACCGTTATTTACTATGTATCTTGCACTACTAAGTATGAGGTGAGCTACATGAGCCATTCTCATTCCACAGATGAGATGGTCAAGATTAGAGTGGCCAACTGATGTGATTAAAACACAATGAGGAGATGACAGAACCACAACATAAATACAGTCTATATTCTAAGAGTTCCATAAAAGTACAACTGTTCGTGGCAGCTTCTGAAATAGCCTTTAAAAATTAGTTTGTAGGCTGTCGGGATGGCTCAGTGGGTAAAGGCGTTTGCCGTCAGGCCTGATAATTGAGTTCAGTTTCCAGAATCCACATGGTGGAAGGTGAGAACTGGCACCAAAAGATGTCCTCTGACCTCCACATGTGCACTATGCATGCACACCTCACTCTCCACAAATAAGTAAAAGTAATAAAAATTTAAAAATTAGTTTGTGCATCAGTGTTTAATGTTATGAAGTACTTTTGAACACAGATACATTCCTTAGTATGTACCAGGTTCTGTTAATGGGTTTAGGTATATACAGATGCAGATTAGACCATAATGAAGGGCTGATCTACCTACTGCACAAGCTATTGCCGTACTGCACTACTTCTTGGGGTTCTCAGTGCTTGCCATTTTCATTCCTTTAGCAGATGGGAAGAGCAGGCAGCCTCGCTGTGATTATGTTTCCTAGCCATTCTAATCCTGGTCCGGAGGAGCTGTAGATGGGGGCATAATGGATGTGTGGCTGATAAATCTGTCCTCTACAAAAATGTGTAGTGTTGATAAATACATGTGAGTATCAGGTACCTTCATATTATGCAAATCTAAGCACATTCCAACATGGCTCACTCAGTGTTGAGAGCACGTAACACCAACATAAACCGGGAGTACACTTAGGGAAAACACTATGAGGCAGCCTTTGGGTGGTAAATGATAATTTTTTATATTTAAGTTTTTTTACATGCATGTGCGAATGCAGGTGCATATGGAGGTCAGAGGGTGACTTTTGGTGTCTTTTTCTATTGTTTTCTCTCTCCACCTTATTTTCTTTCTAGACAAGGTCTCTCACTGAACCTGGAGCTCACTGACCAATGAGCTCCAAGGATCCACAAGTCCCCTACTCCCCCAGGCACTGGGGTTACAGAAGAGGGCACAACATCGGGCTTTTTACATGGGTGCTGGGGCTCGATACTCAGGTCCTCATGCTTACATGGCAAGAACTTTACCAACTGAGCCATGTTCCCAAGCCCAATAACTGCTCTTTACTGGAGCAACAGTCAAAAGGCTTACTTTCTCAAACCCCAGCTCATGGGCTGCATCAGAAGCCTGCTGGAAGGTCTCCATCTGCTCCTGCTCGTCATGTATGTCCCACAGGACATCCCCGAAGTCATCTTCTTCTGGAGTGGAGTCTTCACTGCCCACATCTTTCACCTCCACATCTGTGTTCTGCAGGCCCAGTATGTCCTGAACATGAAGAGCAAGCACAGGAAAGCAAATGAGGAACAGAGACCTGGAGGGGCCAGCACCCAGGCCAGGTGGCTGTACCTACTAAGGAGGGCAAGTCCAGACTCATGGGTGTCATGAAGTGCATGTAAGAGATTTGTCTCTAATGGGATTTGTTTTTTTTTTTAAACATTTTTTAACCAATTTTTTATTTTAATTTGATGTGCACAAGTGTTTTGCTTGTATGTATGTCAGTGAACCACATTCATGCAATATCTGTGGAGGCTAGGAGAGGGCGTTGGATCCCCTGGAACTGGAGTTACTGACAGTTGTTAGTTGCCATGTGGGTGCTGGGAACCAAACCCAGGTCCTCTGCAAAAGCAGCCAGTGTTCTTAAGTGCTGAGCTATCCTTTCAGCTTGGGATTTGTTTTCTGAAAATGCCACGTAATATTTATATCTGGCCAGTGAATCACTTGTTAGAAACAAGTGTGTACATGTGTGCATATGTGCATGTGTGCAAGGGGGAGAGAGAGCGAGAATGAGAGAGAGAGAGACAGAGAGAGAGAGACAGACGAGAGAGAGAGAGAGAGAGAGAGAGAGAGAGAGAGAGAAGAGGAGGAGAGAGAGAGAGAGAGAGAGAGAGAGAGAGAGAGAGAGAGAGAGAGAGAGAGAGAGAGAGAGAGAGAGAGAAGGCAAGAGGATAATCTTAGGTTTCATCCTCAGGAACACTTCTCCTTTGAGACAGGATTTCTCATTGGCCTGGAGCTCACCAATTAGATTAGAGTGGCTGGCCAGTGAACCCCAGGGATCCTCCTGCCTCTGCCTCCCCACTGCTGGTATTACAAGCAAGGGCCGCCATGTGAGGCAGTTACTTTACAGACTGAACTAGCGTTTCAGCTCCACTAGTGAATAATTCTAAAGGCTGTACTAATGCCTAATGAATATGCCATAAACATTTAATTACTGAGATGGAGTTTCTTTATATCAAAAATCTCTGCTGTTGTATTTAGATTAGTTCACTGAAAAATGCCATCCTTTAAGCATTAAAGATGATGAATATGGACTATTTCATTTTGCTCCATTCATCTGACTTACCTTGGTCCTAAAATCTGTAGGATTGTTAAGAAGCTCGGACTCTACCCTGACAACCTTTGTACTAGAGAAGCAGACAAACCTGGGGCCATGCATCTCACCATTGTACCTGTACCTCACTCTTTTCTTCTGATAACAAATCTCCTATCTAGAACCCAATTTAATTAGAAAAGGTGATGTCACCCTTTCTTCTCAAATAGAGCCCTGGGCTCCTCAGGAAGGTGTTGGGAGAGATGGGCTATCACAGGCCTAACATAGTGCTGTGCTCATTTTACTTGAAATAAGTCTTTTAATTACAGATATTGGTATTTGGGTTGGCATAATTCTAGCAATCATTTCTATATTAAAAATAAACAAAGGTGGGGCTGGAGAGATAGCTCAGTGGTTAAGAAAGAATACATAAGGTATTAGAGATATGGCTTGGCAATTAAGAGCAGTAGCTGTTCTTGCAGGGGACTCAGGTTCAGTTCCCAACACTTACATGGTGGCTAACAACCATCCATTCCTAACTCCAGTTATAGGGGATACGATGCCCTTCTGACCTCTGTGGGCATTACAAGCACATCCTGCAAGCACACTTATATACATGTAGGCAAAATACACACACACATAAAAAAATAAATCAAAAAATTTTAAAAAAAAGAAAATACATAAAACTTCAAAAAACTTCCAGCACCAGATGCTTTCACAGTCTATGTTCTCGCACCCTGAAGGGTGCTTCTGCCCTCGGCACTGTTAGGGAAAACATGGTGGGGAACAAAAAAGATTTTTCAGATGTGTAAAACTCCTAAGGGCATGGAGAGGTGCCTCTCTGTGGAGCAAAACGCACTTTTCCCTTCAAATACCTCCTTTGGAACTTGATTGCTTTATATCTAACAAGTATCCCAGCAGGTAAGACAGGGGAGCTGGAAAGCTGCTTGGTCCTGGTAACACTCTGATCCCATCACAGGGCCAACTCTCAATAGAATGATCATTGGCGCTCTCCTAGGGCCCTGTTCTTAAAATGGCAGATAAGTGGTTTTCTCTGGAAAACTCAATTTTATGGAAAACAGTCTCAAGCTATTTTAGATGAAAACTTACAAGAAATGCATATTTACCTGTTTAATAATCTTTTCCACACAGACATAAGTTTTATATACTCCCTCTGCAGGATCTCCTGAGTGGTCAATGATCTGGGGGTCAGGGGGAGGGAATGGGTTTAACAGTTACAAGAAAACACAACAATGGCAGCAGCAGGAGGTGGTAGTGGTAAACCTTTTAACATTTCTAATTCATTTATCTTCGAG